AGGACCCGCTCCGCTCGCTCGAGCGCGAGCCTCGACCGCCTCGGCTAGAGCCTCGGCTAGAGCCTCGACACCGACACGTGGCGCCAGCGCCAGCGGGGGCTGCCTCGGCGGTACGGCTGCGGCGAGCAGCGGGGCGGCGCCAGGTACCGAGATTGGATCTGCACTCTGCTTGTTTGCGCCAAACGGCTAAAGGGAAAGGATGGCAGAGATCCCGGGGGAGCGGGCACTGCGCGTGTGTGCGCGTGTGTGTGCGTGTGTGTGAGTGTGTGTGAGTGTGTGTGGGGGCGCGTGTTTGGGGGGAAAGAGAGTTGAAAAGAGGAAGAGGGGTTATTCTGGGGGGAAACCTTCTTCAGGGCCGCAGACGCCTCTGGGGCTGCGGGATCTCATTTACACCGAAATCTCGCTTGACGCAGAGAACAAGATCGAATAGTTAGAGATTGCGAGGCAACCGAGCTTGCTCCATTACTCAACTTAAAGGAAAACCTTGTACCAGTTGGTCGAAGGAGACCAAGGTAGACAACAAAAAGGTATTCTGCTGCTGTTATTCGTCCATTTTAGGGTGCCTATTCTACCTCCAGCCAGCCAAGAGGGGCATACACATGATGTAACAATTGCTAGTATTTTAGAATAGTAAAGCTCCCCGGAACAAAAGTTTTGCTGATGGCGAGTCCGTCTTGACAAGATATTTCCTAGTTTGTTGGTTTTAAATTGATACTTGAGATCGATATTTTAAGTTTCTAGTTTCATTATTTACATTTTATAAGATGAAGATTTTAAAAATATGAATATTTTTTGCAAATTATAGTTTGTTGATTTGAATGTAAAAAGCATACTCAATATGATAAACAGCTGTAGCTGATCAACACACATTCTTCGGTACATAATAGTATAGAACTAGTCGGACAATGTACTGTCTCAACATTAAGTAGAACAAAAATTTAAAATCAAAAAATTTAAACAACGGCCCAATAAACAAAACGTTTCACCAAATTGGTGGCCACAACACTAAAATCAGTGCACATATTTACTAGTGTTGTGCCAACACACAACCAAAATGGTAACACTCACCATAGTAGTGAAGCAGCAGTAGAAATAAAATCACTTGTCAGGTAGGGTAGAAGCATGACCCGCCTGACCGGACGACGACGCCGCACTCGTTCAACTCTTGATGATTTCTTGAAGCGGACATGAATTTAATGAGAAAGGGGGGGGAGGGGGGTGCTGATTTTCACATGGTCATAACTTCCAGGTGGCAGTCGGCGAAAGGAGGCCTGCTGGCACTGTGGATGAGGAGGAGAGCGGCAGGTCAAGGAGGTTAGGTGACAACAACTTCGCGGATTTGACGAGCCGTTTGGCAAAGGTTGCAGCGCATGTTCAGAGAATGAGACCCAAGTTCATCACAGACATACAGCGGAATTCACACGGTAACTACAAACATAAAAATAGAACAAGGGCCCGATTTTTGCATGTGCTTGAAAGTACGGTGGTCGAAAACCCGTGCAACTCGCCACGCTCTCACTGGTTCGATCACAGCTGACTGACTGACTGACTGGCTCGGACAGCGACCAGTTTCCTTTCTTCGCCGCTAGGCGGCACAGATGTTGAAGTTGGAGTAGTTCCTATTGTGCGCTGTTTGAGTATGGCGCAGAGCCGGGGTATCGTGACAGTGAGCCACGCAAATCTCAGTGCACGCGCACCGTCACTATGCAGCCCCTACAACACCTACGCTACCTAGACTCCCCACCCCTTCGCAGGCACAGGGCGCACAGGCCTCACTCCCCTATATCGCGATGGTTCTGACCTTCCAGAACATAACCTTTCCTCTATTCAGGCCAAACCCACGTCTTTTTTGGGTTGTGTACCAAATTTCCGGCGAGAGTTTCTACCCCGCAGCGCCTCGATACAGAGGCACTGAACCGACAAAGAAAGATTCGGAGCAGGCGTCTCCACACACCGTTAAAAATTGCGATGTCGGAAAAACTCATGCCTTTTTTTTTTCAATAACAGTGGTATTAAAAGTACTCAGACAAACGTGCTGTTCACAAATTAGCATCAAGTTTTTTTGTACTTTGAGGGGTGGAGGGTGGAGGGTGGCTGGTGGCGGGTGCCAGGCCAGGCCGGCCCGCCCCGATTGAAACTTTGCCTCGCTACCTTGTCAGGCTGGTGCTGCGCTGCTGGTGCCGCGCTGACTGGCCGGCATTGTACCCACTGCGCCCCGGGATCTCCCCGCCGAGTCCCCCTCGACGCCTCGTGGCATTCCCTATGCACACGGAAGAGTGAGGGGGGGGGGGAGACTACAAGAGGGAAGTCGGCAGAGTGGGTAGCCGGGCCAGGTGGGGAGGGAAAAGGGGGGCTGCGGCAACTCAAGCCAGCTCAGTAGTCTCCACAACCTCCACGTAACCTTCTCCCCCGACCCCAACCCCTGCGCCGCTGCCCCTCCAACCTCCCTCTGCCGCGGCAGCACAGCGACTGTGTCAAAGGGAATATCCTAGTAATGTACGTAATTAACAGTGCAAGGAGGAAACCCTGGCGGAACCCCAACGGAACACCCGCAGCAGCAGCAGCAGCAGCAGCAGCAGCAGCAGCAGCAGCAGCAGCAGCAGAGGCGGACGGCTCGGGCTAGGCCTTGCTGCGATCGTCCGGATCGCCCCGCCACGCTCCGTCAGCAGCGTGCCGCACACACCGAGCCCAGAGGGACGGCGGCGCGGCGTGGGCGGTGGGAAGGGGCCAAAAGTGTCGGCGGGGGAATTGCCGAACGCTACGCGGACAAGTTGGCCTATCCAGCTCAAGCCCGTCCCGCTCCGCCTGCTGAGCCCGCCTGGCCCGCCGCACCGCGGGGACGGAGGGGCGGATCAGGCGGCGCGTGGCGTGCCGAGGAGACGAGGGGTGGACTGTACCTCGCGGGACGCAGCAGCCGTCCGTCCGTGTGTCTGCGCGTGAGGTGCGCCGCGCGCCGCCGTGTGGAGGGCTCGGCGGGCTCCACGCTCGCGCGGTCCACGGGGGCTACACCACGGCGGCGGCTCACCGGGGCGGGGCGCGGAGGGAGCACATGAGAATCCGTCCGGGATCGGTCTGAATTGAGCAAAGCTAGACACACGCGCCGCTCGTGTTTGTGCGCGACAAGTGTATGGCAAACACCAGGCCAGCGGGGCGTGCCCATTCCCAGCCGCGCGCCGCGCCGTCGGCACGTCGGCGATGTAACGTCCGCATTAGCAACAAACTTTTCTTTGCGGCGCGCGCTGCTGCCTGCTGCCCCGTCCCCCGCCCCTCC